AAAAAAAAAAGAAAGAAAGAAAGGTGTCCGATTGGGAGAGAGAAGTGGGGCGGGAGTATAAGAATGATAGGGGGACATATTGAAGAAGGATAGGCACTCACCGTCAGCGGCAAATAATGCGTACAACGCTTGAGCCAGAATGTTGATCACAGACGACCCCTGCTTGCGTCGCCAGTGAAACACCGACAGCTGCTTCAACACCCGATCCGTATCGGTCAACCGCGGAACCGCCTCCGGACTGAGCAGGTCGCGGATGATGATCACGTCGTTAAGCGCGACGGTCATGCCGCCACCCGTGAGCGGGTGACGCATATTCAGAGCATCGCCCAGGATCATCAAACCCGGGGTCTTGTTCGGCGTGGACGGCAGGAAGGAGTTGGGCATCGACCGCAGCGGCCCCTTCTCCAGGGCGGCCTGGAAGGCCGGCTGCACGCACTCGGGCAGCGAGGGCAGCACGACGTTGCGCAGATGGGCCTTGATGCCGCCGTTCTGCACCGAGGCGGACGGCAGGTTCTCCGGGACGTCGACCAGGATGCGGGTCTCGTGGGTGCCGATCTGGTAGACGAGGACGGGGGCGTTGTCGCTGAGCAGCACGTGGCCGTGGCGGGGCTGGGGCAGCACGGCGTCGATCATCTCGAGCCCCCAGAAGCGCGACCGCACCTTGGGCGCGTGCGGGTGGTACTGCTTGCGGAACTTGGAGGCGTAGCCGTCGGCGACGACGGTGAGGTGGCCGAAGTAGCAGTCCCGCAGGTCCTTGGTCACGCACTCCACGCCAAGGACCTGCTTGGTGTGGGAGCTGACGACCAGGTCGGTGGCCTTGGACTCGACGACGGTGATGTTGGGGCAGGCCAGCACGGCGGCGCGCAGCTTCATGACGAACCGACCGTGGTGGAAGGATCGGCCCTGGGGGCGCGGCGTGTCGGGGGTCAGGACCGGGTAGGGAATGTGCACCGGCTGGCCGAAATACGAGACGTGGTAGCCGTCGCAGGGGATGGCGTCAATGTCCTCCAGACAGTCGGCGAGGCCCAGCTGTTTGAGGGCCCGCACGCCGCCCGGTTGCAACAATTCGCCCACGATCCGGTCGGGTTCCTTCATCGAACTCTCCAGCAGGAGAACACTGCGACCCTGTCGCGCCAGCGTGACGGCCAAGGCACAGCCCAGGACGCCGGCGCCCACGATCACGATGTCGGCATGGTGATGGACCGTTCGACGTTGTTCCGCCGCATTTACCGCATGACCATTCATTATGAAACTTCGGGAGAGAGAAATCGACGAAGGGATTGGAAGGGAGATCGAGAGAGAAGACTGGAGATTGAGATCGGAGGGATCGGAGGAGAGATCGGAGGATGCGGAGTGGCAGTTAGATTGGCGTATCAACACGGGGCGTCGCAAGGTCGAGAAGAAGGGTAGGGCATATTTCGATCTGTACAACCGAAACCGAGAGATATCTTGAAGAGAAAGAGAGAATGAAAGAGAGAGAGATGAAGAAGGGGAGGTTGATGGTGGGGAGATTAAAAGGAGAGACGGAGGGAGAGAGAAAAAAAAAAACCGAAGGGAAGAAAGAAGGAGGGCGTGGGTGGCGTGACATGGACTCCTTTTTCAGGCACCACAGTCAATTCCGACCAACGTACGATCCAGAAGGTGTATTCTCCGATTTGATGATTGTATTATGTGGGACTGTTGGTTCACTAATGGCTTTGATTCTATATACATCGGTACAGTGGTGGTACATGGTGGTATATGGTGGTACATGGTGGTCAGAGTATCTACCAGAATCTCTATACAAAAATACACGTCCGAGAAATCAACTTAAGCACCCCCCCGTACACAGGCCTGCTGGTTCCATCGGGCTTGAATCACCTGGGGATCCGTCTCGATCCGTCCCAGAACCGCCTCCAGCTCGTACTCCTCGTCCCACCGCTCCACCGTCCGCTGAATGTCCTTGTCCTTGTAGAGTCGTCGCTCGTTCAGCGGTCGCTTCAGGTGTTGGCGGAACGCCCGCTTGACGCCGGGGACGGACTGGGAGGACCACACGGTCGGGTCGCCCTCGCTCTTGCTCGCCAGCAGGTCCGCGATCCACGTCAGGTACTCGAGCTGCTCCGTCCGCTGCGCCGTTTCCTTGGGGGTCAGGGGCCCCGCCAGGCGCGTCCGGCGCAGCACCCCGAGGATGCGCTGCACCTCGACCACGAGGTCCCGGTTGACGGCACTGCCGCGCGAAAGAGCGGTCAAGATGCACCAGCGCACGCCGGCGAGCTGCTCCTGCGCGGCAAAGGCCCGCGCAAACATCTTCAGGCACACGCCGTCGAAGTCGGCCGCGCGGCGGTACTGCGACGCGTACACCGTCGCCAGCAGGTCCACGGCCAGCGCCGGCTGGTCGCGCGCGACCAGCCGGCGACACGTCGCCGTCGTGATGTGGTGCTTGACGATCATGTTCTTGTCGGTCCAGCAGAGCTGGTAGAAGCGGAGCACGGCCAGTTGGATCAGCGTGCCCTCGCTGGCGCCGTCGTCGAGGTCGACCAGCTGCCGGAAGAACTGCGGGAAGAAGCGCAGCAGCGGCTGGATGGCGGGCCACTCGGCCTCGATGAGGGCCCGCGCCGCCGCGAGCCCGTGCTCGAGGAGCGTGGCGACGACGGCCAGCTCGACGTGCAGCTGCTTGACCTGGAACCGGGCCTTCTTGGCGATCGCGAAGCAGCGCAGCGCCTCCTCCATCTTGCCGACGTGCATGTAGTGCGCCATCTGCTTGTGCAGCTTCTGGTACTGCGACACGGGCCGCTGCGGCGTGCGCTCCGCCAGCGAGCGCCGGTACCACGGCAGCGGCTCCTTCGTGCCCGGCATCGCGTTGACCTGGGCCAGCGGGAAGGACCGCTGGTCGTAGCCCAGCACCCACTGCGACGTGGCCGCCTGCCCGTACTGCACCCGCGCCGCCTGCAGCATCTGCCAGAACCCGACGGGGGACCCCTCCAGCGACAGGCGGCGCGACCGGAGCATCTCGAGGAACTGCTCCTCGTTGATGTGCACCTTCCACCCGCGCTCGCGCCCCATGCGCGTGAACTCGGCGACCATCTCTTGGTCGCCCTTCTCGACCAACGCCTCGAGAATGTGCCGGTACAGGACGCGGTCGGGCACGATGTCCAGCTTGTCGATGTAGCGGACGAGGAAATCCCAGATCTCCCGCCCCGAGTGCGGCACCCAGTACTCGAGGAAGACGCGGTCGAAGATGGGGAGGAAGTCCCGCCGTTCCGCGGTCAGCCCCCGGGTGGCCATCTCGTCGAGGCCCCGGTCGACCCCCTCCCAGTCGCAGGCCAGCGCCCGTCCGTAGACCAGCAGCCCCTGGGTCCGACAGCGCAGCGGCAGCTCGTAGGTCTGCGTCATCTCCTGCACCAGCGCCTCGGCGTCGGCCTGCCGCCCGAATTCGATGTAGGCCTTGAGGACCGGGTTGAAGAGCTTGTCGGTGACCCGCTTGCCGAAGCGGGGGAGGACGGTCATGAGTTTCTTGAGCTGCCCGTTCAGGAGCTCGATGCTCCGCGTCTTCCGCCACAGGCCCGTCAGGTAGGCGCCGCACAGGCCGCAGTTGCGGTCGACGTGGAGATTCCGCAGGAGGACCCATTTGGCCGTCGTCAGCCGGTGGGACTCGAGCAGCGTCCGCAGCACGATGTCGACCATGTCCGGGGGGAGTAGGAACCGGTGCATGTATCGGGTGTAGACGGTCGCCGTCGACTCGATGCATCCCTTCTTGGCCAGGGCAAACATCAGCACGCGCCACATGTTGGCCGTCACCCTGTCCACCGCCTCGATGCGCTCAAAGATACTGCGCGCTATGAAGACATTGTCATCCTTGCAGTTGGCGTAGAACGCTTCCAACGCACGCTCGCGGCGCTCGGATGAGATCCCATCCAGCGATGCGGGATGTTCCTCGAGGAACAGTTGTGCCGCGTCGATGGGGCGGTCCCGTTCCAGAAGATCCTGCATGCGGGCCGCAAGGTTATTGGGCTCTGCCCGTTTTCCATCCCCCTCCTCCTCTTCCCCCCCTTCCTTTCCAAGACCTTTATCGACCACCGGATCAGCCACCCCTTCCGACTCCACGGTAGCCCCAGCAGCTTGCCCAAGTGCCCGCTGCGCCCGGGCCAAATTATCCGCAGCTCGCCCCTGCTCCGGAGGCACCACGGCCTGGTCCAAATCTGCCGTTCCCAGGACCTTCTCGGCCCGCGCTAGCTCCAGATCCGTCTGTTCCAATTCCACATTCACCAGGTTGTCTCGATCGGCCGCGGCATCCCCGGCGGGCGGCCGCAGTCGGGTTGCCGCCTCCAGCTCCCGGTCCTTCCGCTTCAGGGACTCGATGCCCATGAATTCGCCCGCTTCGGCGGCGTCCATCATGCGAGAGAGTCGTCTCGCCGCGGAGGTGGCATCGTAACGGGGGGCTGACGTCTGCAGCTCGCGTTTGTTCTCGACGATGCGCTCGGCGACCCGGACGCGGCGGTGCATGTCGTAGGTGATGGCCGCGACAGTGCAGAAGCTCCCGACGGTGGAGCCCGCGAGGGCGAGTCGACGAAGGACGCGGAGGGCATTGCGCGAGGGCACGGCCGGAGGGTGAGCTGGGGGGTGCACTGGGGGGGTCATGGCCTGATGTTCTGGGTGTAGCGGGAGAGGTCGGATCGTCACCGATTGTGTACTTATTGATTGAGCATGAGAAAGGTGTGTATTGAGTCAATTAAACAGATTGAAAGAATGGAGAGTAGAATCACCCCGGTGACTGGGGACAATGGATGCAGCTGGAAAGAAGAAGGAGTGGTAGAGTGAGGGTAGACAGAATGAATGAATATGGGTTGATCCGGGAAAGTTTGCACTGCAGAATTGGTGGTTGTGCCGGGCCGGAGCCGCTTTTCCCCTTGCGGGTGCTTGACTATGCCTGTTTGGGCATATGCTCTCCAGTGGCTGGAACAGTCAAGTATAGTAGAGACCGATGGAGTTTATTATAATATAGTAGAAACTAGTATAATATGGTCGAGGAGATGGAGTACAGTTTGGTATAATGGGAGTATAAAGTAGAGGTATAATATAATATGGTAGAGTAGAGGACCACGTAGGACGTGATATATATGGGGAGTACGCAGTACATCGTAATAAGGTGGACATAGAAAAGCATAGTAGATTATAATACTCTAATATAGCGTATCAAAGTTATAAAAAAAACATAGTTCAAGAGAGGATGGCAAGTACAGTCTGATATACTATAGTGCCGGAGTGGGTAGAGGATGGTATAGTACAGGAGTGTACAGAGTACAGTACATAGCATTCCTATCTACTTGGAGCAAGATCCACCACAGTACACTACAAACCCATACAAACCAATTCTAATGAGACTCCGAAACCCTGGTTCGTAAAAGCCCACTCGTCACTGCTGTCCCATCCTCGTCCGGCTCAACCGTCCCAGCCGAGTCCCAGTCGTCCAGAGTGACTGCACAGTATTAGTTAGGTTAAGTGTTCAAATAGAACAGGGAAAGAAGGAAAAGGAGACGGAGAAATCAGGAGAGAGAGAGAACATACCATAAGGCTGAATAAACAGACTCCCCCCCAAAGCAACCGCAAACGCCGTCGCTATACAGATAAAGACCATCTGCGGACACGACCCTACCGACCAGCTGTAGATCAGATTGCAGAGCGTAGGCGCCACAATGCGAGCCAGCGCATGCAGCAACCCCTTCGCTCCTAGAATCTGTCCGATATGGTCGCGAGGGACGTGTTTCGTCAGCGACGACTGCAGCACGGGTACGCCCAGCCCGCCCAGCGCAGTTACCACCCCGGCAAAAATGAGGACGGATCCGCTCCGCGAGAGCGCAAACCCGGCGTATCCCAGCGCGTCGAAGAGCAGCGATAGCCGGATGACCGCTAGGTCGAACCCGTCCGACCCCGACACCTCGCGGGACGGGTCGTCCGCGCGCGCCCTGCAGAACCGCGCTGCGAACGGGTGCACGACGAGCAGATTCAGCACCCGCACGCTGCACACGATGAACATGTACAGGCTGGCTTCGACCGTGCCCCATCCGAACAGGTACTCCGCGTAGATGACGATCACCGCTGACGCCCCCATGGCGACCCCGAAGGCGACCGTGTCGATCGCCGCGAGGAGGAGGATGTTCCGGCGCAGGGCGGGACTCGCTCCTCGTCGCCCGGGGAATAAGAGGCTGGGGCGCCCGACGACGGGGGATAGGATTGCGAGCGGCGCGACCAGCTTCCTCGGGTGCAGGTGCCTCACCATGGTGAGGACCTTGCTGCGGGCGAGCTGACCCTTCCGCGCGAGCGTCGCGTGATGCTTGGCTAGGGCACTCTCCCGCTGCGCTGCGGTGAGGGACTCGGGCACCACCAGGCAGAGGGCGACGAGGACGAACGACACTAGTGCCAACGCCGTGTAGAAGACGTCCAGGATATTTCCCGTCTTCTTCAGCAGCAACGCGACGAGCAGCGGCCCGCCAGCGATGCCGCCGAAGAAGGTCCCGTACATGTAGCCAAAGGCCACGCTGCGGCCGTCGGTGGCCGTGCAGTCCGAGATATAGGAGGAGGTCAGGGCGATGGCGGCCGTGAAGGAGCCGCCCAAGCCGTCGAAGAGCGCCGACAGCAGGAGCACGTTCAACGGGACGGTCTCTGCCTGAGCCGCCATCAACACGATGATCGCTTCCCCCAGCACGGTGGTCAGGACCGAGAAGGCGAGGATCCGCACCCGGCCATGGCGGTCGGACAGCCGGCCCAGGAGCGGGCTGACCAGCGCCGACAGGATGCCGCCCAACAGATTAAAGTAGAGCTGAAACTGCGCGACCTGCGACTGCACCTCGGGGATCTGACACTGTCGGTTCTCTCCCCCAGGCACGACGGGCAAGTACGTGAACCCGGGGTTCTGGGCCTCTCTTTCGGCTAGGTAGTCGCGGCAGACGAGCGAGATCATCAGGTTGATCTTGGGGACGGCCGTGCCGCCCACCCCGAGCATATACAGCAGCAACAGCGGCATCAGCCAGTGAATCTAGGGGAGATTAGTCTGAATGCTCCATGGCCGTAGCAAAGCGACATCACTATCTGACCGGACACTCACACTGGGCCGTTTCCACCACGGTCTCGGGTCCCTTGCGGCCGTACCCAAGCCACCCCCCGCGGGGTCGGAGCCGTCATCCCGGGGGAGGAGCGGCGTCTGTTCGTGGACGAGTTTCGGGTCTACAGGGGACGATGACGACGGGATCTGCGACTGGTCCAGCGCGTCGACCTCCGCCGTGAGCGGAGCCTGGTTGTCCATGATGCTGAATCGGTTGGTACTGTGCTCACCGACGGCGATATAAATCGATCGAGCCAAGGACAGAGGACCTGAGATGAACAGGCGTAGAATGCAAGGTGAATTGACGGGGAGGTCTCTCAGTCTCCATTCCTAGTCTGGGGGTGGAATGCGCGCGACGCAAGGGCGAGCGGACCCGTTTCGTTTGCGACTGATAAGCGATGGGGGGGATGGACAGGTCCGGACAATACTGCCAATTAAGTCACCGAGCTGGTCGGGAGAATTACACAGACAAAAATCTGCAATTGGAGATGGTGGTGGAGGGTCGGTATTTAGGCTTCGTTCTCATCTCACACCCAACGGTCTGGCGTCCAGCGCATCCGACGTGGGACGAATCAATGCGCGCCTCGTTAATTATCTTGGAGGCCTTGTCGTTTCGTTATCTAGCGTGCCCTGACTAAGAGAAGTCCGATCGCGACGATGATTTGATCGGATCCATCCGCTGCCGTGCCTGGTAACAGTTTATTAGTGCATCGTGACGACATTGGGGGGGAAAGTGTGGAATTTCCGGATAGTGGCAGGCAGGGATTAGGACGCATTACTAATCCAGATAAGGCGAAACCATACCATGATTAATGTTACTTTGATTATGTTGATGATGGTGATAATAATGATAATAATGATAAAATTAAGCATATGAGAGGAATAGACAACGAAAAGTAGAATACACATAATAAAACCCAGTTGAAAGTACAGCTATGGAACGCCAATAGAAACCAACCCTCTAGCTAAAAGAAGAAAAAAGAGAGAGATCAAAACTATAAGACAAGCGACGATGCCTGCTCCCCCGCAAAGAATTTCTTCTGCTCCAGACAGCGTTCACTTTTACACCCCTGGCAGCGGAGCGTCATCTGCTTCGAGCATCGCTCTCCCTTCTGGAGGTGATCGCGAGCGACGTCCGCCAGGGCTTGGATGAAGACCGGGCTGTCGTTCAGACTCTCGGCCCGTTTGACGCCCGGACTGTTGGCCTCCTCCATCACCTCCAAGTCCAGCTCGTACAGGGTCTCGATGTGGTCGCTCGTAAAGGCAATCGGGACCAGCACAATGTCGGACTGTCCCCGCTTGACGTACTCCTGAACGGTGTCGCTCGTCTGGGCTCCCAGCCACGCGGACGGCCCCACCTGGGACTGCCAGGACAGGCGGTAAGGGTTGCTGAAGTTCAATCGCTGCATCACCGCATGCACGGTGGCCGCCACTTCCGCCGGGTACGGGTCACCTGTTCCAATTTTAGCATCATCATTCACGGCAGGGGGGGGACAGGCGGTGTAGTACCTCGATTCACTACACTCATAGGTAGACTGTGGGCGGAGAAGAGCAGCACCACACCGCTCCGGCGATCCTCGGGGTAGGTCTTGAGCTGGTCCTCGATGTTCCGCGCAAACGCCTCCACCAGGCCGGGGTGGGTCGGCCACCGATCGATGACACTCCAGTCGATCGAGCCCGCGGGATCCGCATTGCCACCGCGCTTGCCCTCCAGCCTCGTCTGCCACTTCCACAAGTCATTGAGGGAGCTCCCTGTCGTCGAGCACGAGTACTGCGGGTATTGGGTGAAGGCGACGGCGCGACCGCCCTTGCCCCGGCCGAACCCGTCGTCCAGCAGGCGCGTGTACATCTCCTCCGTCAGGGGGTTGGCGTACCGGAAGGCGACGTACGGCTTGTGCGGCGCCGACTCGGGGTTGATCTTGTCGAGGACTTTGCACATCTCCGAGCACTGGTACTCGGACCATTTGCGGATGGGCGAGCCACCGCCAATGTCGGCGTATTGCTTTTGAATCTTGGGGGTCCGTCGCTTGGCGATGAGGGGGCCGAGGTAGCTCTGGAATCGTCCGAGGGGGATCAAGTCGCCGTCGGCCTATTGATCCGGTTTTGTCAGAGGGGAGATCCGGTCATTCTGGGTAAGGGTGTCCTCCGACGTACAAATAACCGGCTCAAGAAGTCTTCCACCTCGCTCGTCGTCGACGGACCACCCATGTTCAGGAAGACCATAGCCGTGGGACCTTTAGAGCTGGTGGCATCCTGCGTGACCGGGGGCACCGCCGTCGCCAGGTGATGGCGTGGTGCTTGGCTCCGTAGAGGGGTGCGAACGGCGGGTCGCACGAGTTGCCGAGGAAGCGCGAGGGGACGGAGCGCCATGATGGGTTGTGAGATTGTAGGAGGGAGAAATGAAAAATTCAAACCATGAGTCTCAATTACGAACGGTTTAGGTGACAAAGGGAAGAATGACAGGTGTTAGATTGGAAGATGGACAGAGGGACTAGAGAGTGTGGAGTTGAAGCTGATCTGGCGGACCTCGGAGGCAATCCGGCGCGGTATTCCAGCCAGCCAATCAGGGGGGAGGGGGAGTCATCACGACACGTGATCAGACACCTCACTGTTCACCGCAGATGTGATGTTGAGGAGTTGACAGCTCACTCGTTCTATGCATTCTTGAGATAAAGTGAGGAAGCTGATTGCGGGTTAGAGAACCTCTGGGCAAATTGTCTTACGGAGTACAGACTACGGAGTGGAAAGTACCTGGAAAGCAGCCTGACCGTGTGCCTGATACTATCAGACAATGTTGAGAGATTAAAGAGGAATAGTGTCCGCAGTGGAGCACTGTTCCTGTGGGATCAAGTTAACACATCCTACGTAGGGATCCCTGGTCGAAGTCCTTCATTCATATGACACTCTCATCGCAAGTAGACCGTCACGAACAGAGCAAAGCCATACAGCGCAAAGGGCAACTCATGAACTACACGGACTCTTCTAGGATCATGATCCTAACGGGATGGTGAAGCACTGGTACGGTGAATGGTCCCTCAGCCAGGGATCTAGCAAATGGAGCGAGTTTGAGACACATCAAGCCACAGGTTGCCATGTTGGTGTTGGGAGCACTACGTAGGTAGGTACTAGACAACCTTGGTAAGCACTAATTAGAGATTGATATCCAACACTCCGGAGTCCTTTCACCCCTACCAAGGGACCGTGTAGTCCATACAGTGAGTACCTAGGACTGCACACACTATACACCCCATCTCTAGTATATGCCTCTACCAAATTCCCACCAAAAACAAAACACCCATATAAATGGGCCGTCACTATATAATCAATGTATATAAAAAACGCCCGAGGCGGGGCTCGAACCCGCGACCTTGGGATAGCCCTGCTATACACAACAAATATATAAATCCAGGCTGATAAACAAGTGAGAGTAAAAGTCCCACGCTCTTCCAACTAAGCTACCCGGGCTGTCAATGGTGGTCAGCTGTCGGTTGTTGGATATTTCTTTTTGTTACTCACTCCAAACTTTGTGGTTATTTTTTTTTTGTGGTATGTGTAGATTGTTTTCTTATGTAGGAGTGGAGGAGAACCGACCTGGGTTTATTCACTTTTATGTGGGAGTATGTCGTTGGATATGTTATAATGTTTGTTTGTTTGGATTGTATATCTATCTATAGTTATACAACTATTCGCTCTAGATCAAGATGTGACCCCAGCACATCTATTGATCCACTTGCACCCACTGATCAGATCATAGATCAGATCATAATCATCGGCTATCCTGCCCGTTCCGTTTCTGTTTCGCGCCGTTTCTATCCGGCAGCGCGCAAAGAAAGGGTGGAAAGAAAGCGGCGCCGAACTTGAATCACCCATGACTGTATCCAACATGTGGACAGACTTTCTTTCCCAAGATACAAGAAACCAAATCGACAGAAAAAAACAAAAAAAAACAAAAAAAACAATCCGTCTAAATAACGCCGCTCCGATAGCTGATTAGCTGGTCGGGCTAGATGTCTATGAAACCACCATGGGCCATAGACGTCAAAAACAAAGTCGAGAGAAGGGAACACCTGGAAGGTGGAATGGTATATACAGTGTCGGAAGGCAGTAGTCGGAGTCCAAGATCAGCACTGTCCATAAACTTGACAGTAGCAGAGCTCTTCATCCGGACAATAAACCGACTCCCGGCCGAAAATGACATGCCAGAGGAACTCCATGACCCGACCACTCTTGGCGTCGTTCTTGTCCGTGTCGATCACCCACTGGCGGATCTTGACGTAGTCGTCGACCGGCCGCTGGCGGACCTGATCGCGCGAGACGGCGAACTGCGCGCAGCAGGCGGCGCCGACTTGCTCGGGCATGCGGAGGAAGCGCTGTGGCGGGTTGACGGATAACGACGGGTTGTCGGCCAGCGCGGAGAGACCCGTCGCGTTTATAGGGGGGGTGCTGGTGCCCTCGAAGATCTCCTCGAAGACTTGCTCTGTGACGTGGGCGTTGCGGCGGTGGCCGGCTTTGCACCCCGGGTTCCAGTTGCAGCGCAGATTCACGTAGCCGTTGCGCTGGACAAAGTCAAGCTGTAGGGCGCGCATAGCGACGGCATTGTCGTGGAGGGGCGCGTCGACGTGCCAGGCGAGGACGAACCCGGAGCGGTGGGAGTGGAGGAAGGCGATGGTGGCAGGGAGGCGGTCGTAGTGGTCGATGATGTAGGTTAGGTAGGCCATGGCTTCGTGACCTTTGTTGAAGGGGGTGGTGAGGCTGTGTTCGTTGTCGGCGGTGGAGCGAGAGGGGTTGACGATGTAGATGGCGCGTTGCCAGCTGTGGACGTTAGATTTCTTCCATTGTACAAGAAATATAGGAAAACAGAATAAAAGACCTACTCGGGCAATTCTTCTTGTACCCAATCCGTGGGCTCCTCCTCAAGCTTGGCCATGACGATGACCTTGTCACCGTTGGACTCTCCCGGGGACGGAGTCTTCCATCCTTGCGGGGCACCGGAAGGGTCACGATACCTGGAGTGGTACCATTCGGTGAGATACGCGCCCGCGCGATATTGATTGCAGAGGTCCTCAAGGTGGACCTTCAAGAGATACAAGGGGAAGAGTAGCAGCATGACGCCACAGATGGCAAAGCGGGAGCCACATTTCATCCTGAGGACGGGGGTTTAGCCCCGGAAGGGGGGGAGGGGGGTGGGGGGTGAAGGTTGGGAGCGATTGGGCCGTCGAACATGCACACAAGATCAATATCAATATCAATATTGTGAGGAGTGTGTCGGAGAGTTGACGTGCATGCGTGTAGTGCAGCGGGAGATACGGCCGGAAGTGCGGCCGGAAGATGCGCGAGAGCTGCAGAGAAATAGCAGAGAGGCGAGGGGGAATGAAGAGGGGAGAGAGACGGGGAATGTTTAAAAGAGTTCCAAGGTAAAAAAAGGATTGGGGAGAAGAAGAAAAAGGGTTTGGAGATGTGGAGAGACAATGGTGGAGGCAAAATGAGGGACCAAAAGGGAGCAAAGAAGGGGTCAAAAAATTAAGCCCAAAAGATCAAAGAAATGATCCAGGGTCCAAGACAGGGTCCCACGGGCGGGAGTCTCAACTTTTGATTTGGTGAAATGTGGACATGCCCGGTTCATCCACAATTGTTCGGACGATAAGATTACTACGAGGACGGCAGGATGAAGGATCAGTCCGAGACCGTCGATAGAAATTGAGGAACAAGACCGGGGTTGTTGGGAGATGGGAGGCTGTACAGGGACGATCCCCAGGGATAGCACCAGATTGATCCAGGGTCCGGGCGATCATTTCTGCTTGGAATGGTGGAGTTGGACCCTGTGGCTTTGGATCTCTTTGATTCCCCCTCGATATTGGGTTAGTATGTATTCCTTCGTTCAGGACTTACCTAGTGCAGAAACCAACTAGCAGCCAAGCATATCTGAAGAGAAGCGACCGAGTCATCGTGTTGGTGGGAGAGTTTGGCGCAATCCCAAGTTAAGAAATGGTCGACGTTTTAGCGGCTCCGGCGGGGAAGCTTGGCGGGTTTTAGGGGGTTCGAGTGGTGGAAGGATTCCAGGGTTGAGATGAATATAGAAAATACATCGAATATGATATTTATTTATTTATTTATTTATTTATTCATCTATTATTTATTATTGATTATTTGTTCATGATGTATGTTTATTGTTAGAATCTATTATATCCTAAGTATTATACTATATATCATCTTATATACTGTTGTATTCACCCTGAGGTTTAAATCCAGGATCATGCTATATTCGACCCTACTATAAGCACGTGGCGAGTCAACGGCGCACAGTGACGTCGTCGGGAAAGACCGGCTTCTGCCGCTACTCTCTACCCTCCCCATAAATGGTCTACCCACTCACTACTCACCTATGAGCTCCAAAAAACATCCTTCAACGGTCGACAGTCTACCCCCCCCCATTAATTACAATCACCAAGTCTACTGTCCAGTCCACTAGCACGCTTGCTGTCCGTGCACATATAGGATTCACCCCCCCGAAGATCGGCATGGTCATCCCGCACAACTCACCAGTAGGATACTAGTAGGGTGACGACCTATCGATGAATGGAGGAAATGCCCGTCGTGGTCGAATCGATCAGGCTGACTTGTCTCAGACAGAGAATTGACTCGTTGGTGGGATGGTTGGGTCTTGGGAGAGAGATGGAGGAAAATTACGGACTAGTCAGGGAGGCTGTTTCATTTGATTCTGGTAACCTAGATGTTTGAGAGGGGACTATACAGTACTAGGTAAGGTAGACGAGTTGGTTTGGGGCTTAGAATCAGGCTGCTATTTTTAGTTGATTGCCATCTACCCATCATCTGCTGAGATTCGCTGGAAGTATTATCGTAGGTATAGCCGGTTCAATGCACTAGAGACAATGACATAACACCACCCAAATCAATACCTGCAGACCCGCTGCAGATCTATATCATTTATATCGACCGTATCAATCGCTCTCGGCATCACTCTCGTCCTCCCCCGCCCGCCGCGCCCGCTCCCGCTTCCTCTCCAACAACTGATTCAACTTCTTCGCCGTATTAAATACTCCCCCCGTACTCGCCCCGCACGCCGCACACGACGGATCCTTCCGATACCGCTTCAGCGCGCACGCCTCGCAGAAGTAATGCCCGCACTTGGTCGTGATCGGATACTGATACGGCTTCTCGCAGATGATGCACGCAAACGGGATACTCTCCAGCAGTGCCTCGTCCTCATCATCCTCGTGACCCGCCTTCGCGTCGGCCCCACTCCGCCGCGACACCACCTGCCCGCCCACCTTCTTCTTATCCCCGTCCGTAGCCTTGTCCCAGTCTTGATCCAGCTCCCACCCCTGCTTGTAGTCCTCTCGCATGTGCGCGTAGATACACGAGTCGCCGTACCCGCAGAACCCGGTCTTCTTGTAGTCCTTGCACACGTTGGGCATGTAGTCCATGAAGGTCACGGCGCGGACATTGGTCGGCGCCTTGACCGGCCCGAACTTCTTCCCCGGTGCGTCGGGGTTCTTCTGGATGAAGGATTGGTAGTTGGCTGCTCCCTTGTAGGTGCCGTCGGGGGCGGACGGTGTCCCCGTTGACCGCGTCGTCCCCAGCAGGTTCTTCGCGTCTAGCTCTTTCTCATCGTACCAGTTGGACTGCTTGGTCGCGTCGTTGGTGGATTGCAGGGGTGCGGGCGCGGTGCTCGCGGGCGCGGGATTCTCAACCGGTCGGGTGGCTCCGGCCGTCGTGGAGGAGGCTGTCACGGCGGCGTTCTTGCGCCGGCGCTTGATGCGCTGGCCTTGGTCATCGTCGGAGGAGGTGAAGCCGGAGTCGGAGTCGGAGGCGGGGGGAGGGGCTTCCTTCTTGCGGACGGTGGCTTTAGCTTTGGCCGAGCGCTTTTTGAATGTGATGGGGGCGTCTGCCATGATCGTTTGTATCTTGTGGAAGAATACTTGAATTGACTGTCTGCGCAGGCGAGCTGTAGAATATGACGGTGGCGAGAGGATTCCGGAGAGGGAGGCCACGTGATCAACTGATTACTAATCAGGGCATCACATGACCTGCACATGACAGTCCTGATCCTGCCACGTCACGGGACGGCCAGGGGGATGTTTCACGATCAGCCAATGAGAAGACAGGGACCCACTGGTCTGGTACGGTAATCCACTCTGTCAGGTACGGATTCCTTCTATGGAATGACTATGGAATGACTACGGATTAGTGGGAGGAGGGATGTCCGATCGTACCTGTACGGAGCATGCCGTATTGACGGGTAAATTACGAAGATCATCAAGATCGTTGGGTGAAATAAACTTCCTGCATCCATGGATAACACGTCAGTTTCCTATACTAATCTATATACTGTTGAATTGTTTACCTCCGTCTACTCCGTCGACGGTTGATCTTTGATCTTGTGTTCGTTGGTAGATGTGGAATAGGGGGGGTACGTATCAGATCAATAGTTTCATATGCGTCTCTTCTGGTCATGGACTCAACACGGTCATCTCCTGCGCTCTGGACGGAGTACCTATGGAACCATGTACCTCTGGTAGTGGATGATGACAGGAAAGATAGAACGAACAATGGATTGTAAGAATCTATAGTCTGAATACTCTTCCAACAGCAATATAGGAGTAGCCAAGTATCAATCTCCCTGGTAGTCAAGATTATTGATCGATCTCCCAATACTGACTGCACTATACTAGTAGCGGCCCCTCCGTCCCTCCTTCAGTCTTTCTCTCTCCCTTCTCTCCTCCTTCTTCTTCTTCTTCTTCTTCTCCCCTCCTTCTTCTCTTCCTTCCTTCCTTCTCTTCTTCTTTCTTCCTCCCAACGAGACGAGAACCGTCTCGTTGTCCATCCAACTTTCCCCTCACTCTCTCTCTCTTTCTTCCCCTCTATCCACCCCTTCCTCTCTTCCCTTTCTTTCCCCTCACTTGCCTATTTCCTTCTTCCTCTAATCTTTTATTTCTTCTTCTTTTCTTTACTTCTTTGGATCATCTCTTCTGATTAATTTTGTTTTGATTTTGATTTTATTTTGATATTTTTTATTTTTTATTTTTTTTTTCGGTTCATTGATCCAACTTCATTTGTCCCTCCTTATATTAATACCTTTCCCTTTCTTTACACTATTACTATTACTCGAATTCGAATTCAACTACATCCTCGGATCCGTCTTCCTACCTACTCATTAATTCTGGCACTGGACACTGCATGGACGTCGAGGTGACCCATCACATCCTCCTCCATCGCCTCCCCTCGCCTCTCCTCGACTCTCCCACCACCGCTGCAAAACCAGTGCATCTCCAACACTCTCGGTACCCGAGTGTGCGTTTCTGGACAGATCCAAATACCGCCACCAGATCCCTCCCCGGAGCTCTCTGCCCTGGTTGGTCCCCTGCATCCTGGTCGCGTGTACCGCATTGATTACGTTAGTCTCTCCCACCTCTCACACCGATCCTCCGCCAACTCAATTGTCAAACCCACTAGGCCCTGATCCAAACGCGTTTTGTGTTGGGGTTGTGGTTTTGTCACTGTTGTGGTTGTTGTTGTTGTTGTCATCATTGTTATTGTTGTTGTTGTTCGCAAGCCACTCCGCTGGGACGGGATCTTGGCCCACCCTCCACCCAAACCAATCCAATCTCGTCCCTCTTTTCTTTCCCTCCTCCCTCTGTTTTCTTTTTTCCTCTTTTTTCTTTTTGTTGTTGTCGTTGTTGTTGTTGTTGTCCTTGATCGCCCTCATTGCGCCCCGCGATTCGCCCGTCGCTTTCGCCTTGATCTTCCTACCTTTCTTTGGTGCGCGCCCCTGCTTCCGACCGCCTGACCCGTAGCTGGTTGGGCGCCAACCTTCTCTTCTCTGCTTCACCGCGGCTTGGCTAACCATCAGCAAAGGAGGACTCGAGGCGACGACACTCCCCGCCATCTCCGGATCACCACCCGGATATGACCGTGGCTTGACTTCGCAATCCGGAAAACAGGCGGCGACTGTCTTCACAGCGATTGCTGCCTCCATCTGCTTAGGGGAGATCTCCCTTCATCGGTGACCAACCGCCTTCTCCGCTTCACCGACCCAAGTCGGTAGAAAAACACAAGACAAAACAGAAAAAAAAAAAGCACAAAGAAGAGAAAGGAAACGGGAAAAAAGAAAAAAAAAAGGAAAAGGCACCATGTCCACGATCGATGATCCTTTCGTGTCCTCCGGCGGGGACGGCGCCATACCCCGCGACTCGCATCGATATTCTTCCTTCGACAACCAGCTCTTCAATCTCGATGCCTCGTCCCCTGCCCAGGCCAAACGCGCCCTCGAAGCGCATCTCGCCGAGACCGAGCGCCGACTCGAGGAGGCCTCGAAATTAGGAACGGCTCTGGTGGAACAGCAGAAGGAGCTGGAGGACAAACTGAAGGAAGTGGAACAGCAGCAGGAAGAGGGCCAGATTGGACCGGATCTGCGCCGCAAGTTGGCCGACTTGGAGAAGGAGTACAATGAGATCGGACGGGAGACTACGCGTGCGTTTCTCGCACCCAAGCGTCTCGCGGGAGGCGACGATGCCCACCTCGGGACCCCATCCTTCGACCAGAAGGTATCCTCTCTCGCCCCCCCACCTTTCTCGCGATCCGTCGGATCTCAGCTAATCCCCCACCAGTCCCCCCTCAGCGCCGCCTTCTTCGCCAGCCAGGCAACGAATTCCCCCAGCAAGGTGAGCGTGCCATCGCGGAAACAACGGAATCAACCCTCCAGCCGGGTCCACGACATCGAATTCGCGACCGAGATCTCGACGTCGCTGTTGGCCCAGGTCCGTCAGTTGCAGGCCCTGCTCGCCGAGCGCGAGGATGCGCTCAAGACCCTGAACCTGGAGAAGTCGCGGCTGGAGCTGGAAGCCGAGGGATACGCCCAGCGCATCCGCGCGCTCGACGAGAGCGAGGAGCGCTACAAGGACGAGAACTGGGCCCTGGAGACGCGCACCCACGAGCTGATGGCGGCGGTCAAGGACGGATCCGACAGGGAGAGTCGACTCAGCAGCAGTCTCGGCGCCATCACCAGCGAGAAGAACGCGGTGGAACGGGAACTGGAGGACTTGAAACAGACCAACACCAAGCTGGTGGAGGACCAGGCCGCGGCCCAGAAAGCCAACGACGCCGAGCTCCACCTCCTGCGGCGCAACCTGAATGCGGGCGAGGCGGAACGGCAGGCCCTCCAGAAGCAGTGGAACGAGGTGAACGCACAGAACGAGGAGCTAGCGAAAGCGGTCGCCATGCGCCTCCGACAGCATGAACACCAGTCCACCCTCGAGGTCCCCCGCCCCGACCGCTCGGACGACTCCGATCAAGGAACGCCCGACAACTCCCCTCCGCCGTCGCCGAACAAGTTCACCCCGCGTCACGGCCACCTCGAGACCGAAACCCTCCGCAGCTCGCTCGGCCACGCTCATCGCATGATCCAGAACCTGAAGAGCACCATCCATCGCGAGAAGACCGAGAAGATCGAGCTGAAGCGCATGCTGCAAGACGCCCGCGACGAGGTCGAGCTACGCCGCCGCGAGGGGCCTGCCCCGCCCGGCGGCGCCGGCAAGCGCCAGCGCACCAAGACCGACGCGGCCCGGAAGGCCCCGCGACCCGATCTGCTGGGCGCGGGACGACGCGGCGGCGCCGAGGTGGAGGTGCACGCAGACCCGGATCCCGACTGGGAGGATCACGCGGGCGAGGCCAGCCCCTCCCACAAAGCCGCGACCCGGCCGGCACGCCCCCGCCGCGGGGACCTGTCGTCGGACGAGCCGCCCAGCAGCGCGTACCAGACGGCCACCGAGGCCGACGATGCCTTCGAGACGGCCAACGAGCGGGAGACCACCACCGAAAGCGAGGCCTTCCAGACCGGCGTCGAGAGCATGGCCGACGACAGCACCGACTCCGACGAACTCACCGAGACCGAGGACCGCGTCCAGCGGACCCCCCGCGGCCGGGCCTCGCCGTTGACCATGGCCAAGCGCTCCTCGTGGCAGAGCACCGCCTCCACGTCGGCCGACGAGAACGACTCGGATGCGACCGAGTATGCCTCCCCCAGTCAGAGTTCGACCCCGCGGTATCGCCCCCGCAAGAAGCGCAGCGTGCCGCGGCGGATCCGACCCTCAGGCGAGGCTCCCATGGCGTTTGGCAGCCGTCCCTCCAGTGCGCGGGAATCCCCGGCGACCAGCTTCACGCACCAGGCCGGGGCCTCCGAAGGCCAGAGCCTGTTTGCCGAGCTGGCCGAGCTGGACGGCGAGGAGGAAGAGGGCGAGTATGGCTCCGTGACCGATTCTCGACGGCCCTCCGCGGCCCCCCTGTTCGCTTCGCCCCGGCCAACCATGGTGGATTCGGGTGTGATGACCGACCCCTGGGAACCGGCTGCCCCGGCTCCGGTGGTGACCGAGGCGAGTGTCCTCGACGAGCCCAGCACGCCGCGGCAGGCGGCGGCGGATGCCGACACCGCGGTGCAGACCAACGCCCCCCCGGCGCTGGTGCACTCGGGAACCCAGTGGACGACGCCTCTCAAGGCATCGCCCGAGTCGAACGAGGACCCGGTGTCGAACGTGCCGACGCCGCCCAAGATGACCTGGGACGAACCAGCCGTTGCGGCGGAGCGCGGAGTCGAAGCGGTTCCCGCGCCGCAGCTGGAGGTGTCCGCCCTGGCCTCCCAGGAGACGCTGCCGGTGGCTCCCACGCGCCCAGACCTGTGCACGTCGTACTACATCAGCGGCATGACCGAGCCGGTCGTGGTGGTCGCCCCAGAGCCACCCACCCTCCACACGTCGGCGATCACGGCGCAATTTACCGTTCCCGTGGCTGCCCCGGTGACGGACGCGGTGCCGGTGTACACGCCCTCCATGGCCGTCTCGTCCGTCGTCGCCCAACACACCGTGCCAGTCGCCGAGGCCCCGTTGGAGCCCACACCGCGTATCTTCTCCGACCAGGGCACGTCCACCGACCTCCCCGAGCTGGCAGTGTCGTCTCTCGACTCGGTGCACACCGAGCCTGTCGCCGTGGACCCCACACCCGCCTCGTCTGACCCGGTGGACTTGACCGTCTCGCTGCTCACCCCAGCATTTACGGTGCCCATCGTACCGGTCACCGAGGAGTCAGCGTCTTCCGCACCCGTGGTGCCGGAGCTGTCGCTGTCCCCTGTCCGATCCGTGGAGACGCTTCCGGTCCGACCGAGAGCGACGGACACTGTCGACCGCAAGGCACCGATGGTGGCCGCGAATGTACCGCTCCCGGATCTGCTCCCGGCTGTCATGCCGACGCCTTCTCTTCCGACACCCCCGGTCGTCGCCGTTCCCGCCCCGGCGGTCTCAGCGAAGGCTCCGGGTCTGCCCCTGGGCCCCGTCTCCGGCAATGCGGGGCCACGACACGCTCCACGGCAATCATCGACCCAGACGGACCAGGGCGCACAGACGATCCTCTCCTCGAAACAGATCGACCAGATTCTGATGGATCGGATCACGTCGCGACCGCTGTCCCCGCCGGACAGCGACCGGACGAAGGAACAGGGCACCTCGCCCTTCGCCACGCCCAAGGCGCGGACCAAGCCAGTCCACCACGCGTCCACGGCTTCCCTCGGCTCCGTCCACCGCCGGCCCGGCAGCGCGGCCAGCCAAACGTCCAGTGTCCAGAGTCACCCGCCCCTGCCCGCCGACCACCGCGAGAATATCCTCGCAGCCGAGAAGAAGACGGCGGAGCAGCAACCCGTTTCTCCGGGGCTCATGGGTCCCCCGCTGGCTCCGGCGTCCGCGTACAGGACCAATGCGACCCAGCGCCCCCGGACGCCCAATGGCTCCAGTGTGCACTTGAGCGCGGCACCGACGACCGCCTCGCGGACGAAGTCGCGGCGCGAGAGCCAGGTGTCGCGGCGGTCCTCGGTGTCCTCGTTCGCGTCGGAGATCGAGGAGCGGTTCAACATGCAGAACCCGCACCATCCGGCCATGCCGCACGGTTACGGCCCAGGCTCGGATCCCCGGATGATCCAGGCTATCACGCAGACGATGATTGGCGAGTTCCTCTGGAAATACACGCGCAAGACGGTGTCGGGCGAGATCTCCAACACCCGCCATCGCCGGTATTTCTGGATCCACCCGTACACGCGCACGCTGTACTGGAGCACGCAGGACCCGCAGAGCGCCGGGAAGCACGAGATCCGGACGAAGAGTGTGCCCATCGAGGCGGTGCGCGTGGTCGCCGACGACAACCCTTACCCGCCAGGCCTGCACTGCAAGAGTCTGGAAGTCGTCAGCCCGGGTCGCCGCATCCGCTTCACGGCGACGACGAGCCAGCGCCACGAGACGTGGTACAACTCGCTGTCGTATCTGCTGGTGCGTGGCTCCGAAGACGACGAGGAGGACCCAGAGAACATCACGCTAGAGGACATCGACGAGTTCAACCCGGGGTTCCGGTCCCGGTCGCGGGGCCCCACCCGCCTCTCAGTCTCGTCGTCGCAGAGCCGGCCCCTGCGCAACAGTGGCGCCTTCCCGCAGCAGCGTGCGGGCTCGGCCATGTCCCTGCGCCGCGCGGCGACCCCAGGCCGTGCGTCGCCCGCGCCCAGCACGCTGTCGAACTATTCGGAGCAGGGCCGGCGGTCGGCGTCCCGGCTGAGCTCGATCCTCAACACGACGATCAAGGGGTCGTTCGGGCGCAAGGGCCGGAGCTATGCCGGGTCCAGCGTGAACGGGGGCAGCGTGCGCGGGCTCGACAGCCAGGACGACCTGCGCCACATGGTGGAGCGGCAGGAGCGCGAGGACGGGCTCGAGAACGTGCGGGCGTGCTGCGACGGCAAGCACGACGTGGGGTCACTGTCGCGGACGAGCCGATACAGTCCGCGGGCGAACCGGATCCACTCGCATCATTGAGCACATTGTTAACGAGTCTTTTTTTGATTGCATTCCATTACATCGCCCTCCGATTTGCATGCATTGACCCAGGCCTGACTGGGTTCCTGCCACTCCCCACTCCTGGCCTGTTTCACTTATTGACTTATTAGTATTATTATTCTGCCATTCTTTATCTGTTTCAGCAGAGTGCCACATTAGCATCATTTGTTGATTTCTCTTTTGTCATTACCTTTGTTATTACATTACTTGTCCACCGGACCGACGGTGTTGACTTTGGCCGCTCGTTCGCTACCTTGATTGGCATGCCAATTCTATTATTGTGACTACCATAGTGTGTGAATGTACATGCACCGACTTCTTGTATTTTTTCTTCATTTTTCTTGATATTGACAATCTGGGCTTGTGGAGTTGAGTTCAGTCTATAATGACGAGATTGAACCGAGGTTGGGAGGTTGGGCCATCGGTGGCTGGATGTTTTGATAGCTGATATGGATTGATTGATACTTGACTGGAGTTGATTCGAAGTAGTCTCTTGTAACTCTACATCTATTTACCATTGAAGTGAGACTTGATTCACCCCAGCGGAGGAGAAACACGATATACGATCAGAAGGGTTAGCGTGGCTTAGTCATGCCTGAGTATGTCTCCGAGATGTTTCCGATCATCAATTATCAGTTCTCTATCCTTCTTCCTCTCACCATCTCTCCTGCATAGCTAGATCCAGATCCAGATCCAGAGCCAGATTTCTCGACCATGGCGGGGAACGAGCCCTCCACCATCCAATGGATCCAGTCCCTCCTGGAACCGGGACAGCTCTTGCTGTATGGCTTGTCCTGTATGTACCACTTACTTACTCCCACTCATACTCCATGTAAGACCCAGCTGAGATAGATAGACTATATCCGGGTGAACCTGGAAGCTGTGTTCAAGAAGGGACAGCTGCTTGCTCCCATTCTGCAAACTGGGAGACTGCGCGATGAGGCGTTTGGGCGGTTTTGGATTGCTTTCAGTTGTATGTCTTCAACTCCGCACCTCTCCATACATCCGTACATACACACCCCTACCTTGATATACCCTACCTCCGCAAGAAGACAAAGAGATCAAAGAAAGAAACTAACAATCAAAGCATCCCGCCCGGACCCCAAATCTGAATCTCAATCCCAATCCCAACCCCAACATACTCCCCCTCCCCTCGCCCCACCCCCTCAAATCACCTGCTCCTCAGACCTCATCCCCTCCATCCTGGCCCACGCATCCGGCCTCGTACTGGACGTCGGCCCAGGCACAGGAACCCAACTGCCCTTGCTGCGCTCACCTGCTATCAAAACCATTTACGGCGCGGAGCCCTGTCTCGGTCTGCATGATGAGCTGCGCCAGAGGGCGAGAACAGAGGGTCTTGCTGAGAAGTATCGCGTGCTGGGGTGTAGTGTTGCCGCTGAGGAGCTTGTTCCTGCTCTTGCCAAGGAAGGTCTTCCTGTGGAAGGTGGGGAAGGTAAAGACAGAGGAGTCTTCGACTCCATCATCTGCGTGCGCGTCCTCTGCTCTGTGCCTAATCTCAACCGCACTGCCAAAGACTTGTACTCGCTTCTCAAACCGGGCGGGAAGTTGCTTGTCGTGGAGCATGTCGTTAATCTCTGGAGGAGCAGTAAGGGCTCCCTCGTGGCGAGGATAGCTCAAGCTGTGTATGGATTGCTTGGTTGGAGCTGGTTTATTGGGAGTTGTTGTCTTGATCGTGATACCGAGGCTGCGTTGAGGGAGGCGGCTGCTGCGGATGGCGGGTGGGAGGTTGGTGATTTGGATCGGCATTTTGGGAGCGGGCCGTTGCCTTATGTTTCCGGGGTGTTGGTTAAGAGGTCTTGATCTATCGTTTTGGTTCTGGACTGACTATTTGGTTGTTGGTTGATCCATCCATTGATAGGGTAGATGGGGTACTTGTGTATAGAGTTGTTGAGATCGCATTGGCAACACTACGGTTGTAGAGGTACACTCTACCTATTAGATTTGATTCCATGAACCAGTCAACATCAACATCAACATCAACATGTGGGTATCATTGTTCGTAAGACATTAAGTATGTAAGGATGTAAATCGTGGCCGCTAGCCAGGTTTCGGCCTACCCGGCGGCCAAAAATCAAACAAATCCATCGCCTCAGCCGTCCATGGACCTTGTTCCCCCGGTGTATCCTCCTGGAGAGGTCCACCGAAGGGGTTATTCCTCCGTGTTAGGGCGGTGGGACCGTTCCTCCTTGTTAAAGCGGTGGGGTCTGATAACGCTTTGCGGAGGCCGGTTGATCGCATTGCGGGATTCATCCGTGGGGCCGGGCGACTGGTTGAGCTGTTGACCATTTCGTCCAAAATTGAGAGGGTTGATGAGGAAGGGACAAAGTCGGGATTGGTTGATGAGGGAGGGACGTCGGAGAGAGCCGCCCTAGAGGTCGGTCAGCTTTGTCTTGGGAATGCTAGAGACGTACTGACTGCGAATCGGGGACGGGTTTGGTCGCCCTTGATGGAGTTGTAGGGCCGGGTTGCTTCGGTTTTAGGGCTTGGTATAGTAGTTTCTTGCGGGGTCGGTCTGTTGATATTCGGAGGGTGCTGAGTGGTGCTTCGGGGGGTCTGGATTCGACATTCGGTGGCGCGGATGGAGGCGAGGGAGGTGGGGCTCCCCTCGGTGTGGTCGTGCTATTCTTCCTCTTGGGTTCGGTATTGGCGTTGGTTGTTGGTGGTATGGGAATGGCTCGGGGAGGGTCTGACTTTCGGACGGAGGAGGCGCTCGTTGTTGGCGTTTGGACCGGCTCTGGTGGTCTCTCCGACGGCTCGCATAAGTCGATCACGACCGGTTGAGGCCGGCCCTTCGGAGTCGCCTTGAAGCGTTTCGCAGGTCTGTCCGGCGCCGGTCTTTCCGGCGGCGACAGATCCCTGGTAGTCTCGTTGGGCGGATGACGCTGCTCATATGGCGACACGAGTCGAGTGACCGGGGTCTTTCTAATACCCAGCAGATCGTTCAGCGACCGCGGCGGATGCGACGAGAGGGACGACCGGACAGGGGTCCCCGTCCCCGGTCGCATAGAGGGCACGGGAGAATCCCCCGCACGCGGCCGAGGGCTCTGCTGGGTCTTCTTATTGCTGTACAAACCCGACAGATCCGTCTCGGTGCGTTCCATCGACTCGCCGACCTGGACTAAGACGCCTCGATCGAGTTCCAACTCATCCCCATCCTGGATCCCCTCCTCGTGCCGTCCGTGCTGATCGCCGACAAAATTGCCTGCCGTGTCGTAGACCATAATCCGCTTGTTGAAGGTGTGATATCGGAGGAAGCCGTCCTGCCATCGTTTGGCTTTGCGTCGCAGATCATGGGTGTAGAGGCATCGGTGTTTGACGACGGGGGCGGTGTTTTGGGTGAGGGGGACGCCTGTTGCGCTGTGGGGAGGGGTCGACATGATGCAGGAGGCCACCGCGGGCGTGACAAGAAGGGAAGTCCCATTGGAAGAAGTGAGAGGGGAGGGAAGGAAGAGAGAGGAGAAAGAAAGAAAAACGAGAGAAAGTGAAGAAAAAGACGAGTTGGAGATAACGAGTCCATGCCTGAGGCAGCCTGCATCCAGACCCCCAAACGGGCTTAGCGTCTCTTGTATACTTTTCTTCTTCTTCTTTTCTCACTTTCTCACTTTCTCTCTTTCTCTCTGTCTTCTCTCTGTCTTTCTTGACTCCAGTCTACTTCGGTCTAGTTCAGTCGATTCAAGATATCAGAGGCATCCTCCATTGGTCATCCTCGGGAATCCTCGACCTGGTTGAAACTGACAGGTTCTTTAGCCTCTACCAACGTACCAAGTGGAGACGGTCCTGTCATCAACAAATCCCCTGTTCGCTCAATCGTTCCATGGTACGATACTTCCAACGGATCGATGTTGCCTGAATCTCTCCAACGTCCATGGTCAGGGATCCACTACAATTGACGGTGGAGTCGCGTTCATGGCGTTCAAGCGTTGCCCCTCCAAGGTTGATTGATCGACACGTCTCCTGCCCTCCATGACGATCGCGATTCGGGTTCACAACAAAAATAGGTAAGCCAAGGATTGGATCAGTGGGGGCATTCCGGTCATTGGTGGCGTGGGTTGAGAAACTGGGGTCTGAAACATTCGGCCCTGTGGACACTGGACACTGGACTCTAAGTCCCCAACTCCCGTTCATTCTGGCTGCGTCATCCGCTGAGTGCGGCTCTCGCTTTCTGTCCTTTCGTTCCCTCTCTCTCTCTCTCTCCCTCTCCTTGCCTTCTTCCTCGGATTCCGCTCTTCCTTCTTTCGCTCTCCATCCCTGGGAAGCGACACCAACCGCCTGTCAACGGTCTATCCCTCCCATGACTGCATGATCCCCGACCGGGCCCCTTTCCCCCCCCCCGTCTGATCCATCCCCGCATTTCTCCTTTTTCCCACCGATTGGTTGTCTCGTTTCGACGAGGCCCCGGCATCACCCGCCATGCAGAGCGTCCACCGTCAGATTGGGCGCATGAAGAAGCGGACGGCCGATGATACCCAGATCTCGGATATCTTCAACGATTTCAACGAGGCCGACCTACTGTTAGCTCATGTCAGTGCACTGGACATCCCGTCTGCCTAATCCAGGAACCCCACTTTGTGAAGTCCGTCGCTGACCCTCCCATCCCATAGATCATTGAAGCCATCAGTTCCTGGCGCGATGCCTGGTCCGCCATCCTGGCCACGCAGGCCAAGGTCACCGGCGAATACGAAGGGCTGTATGCCCCCATCGTGGGCGACGCGGAGACGGCTTCGTCGGACATGGCTGCCATCACCCCCGAGGTGACCATGATGCGCACTCAGCGACTTTGGCAGGAGTACGAGGAGTTGCGCGGTGACATGGCCCAAGACCTCAACGCGGTCGACGATCGCATGATCCGGCCCGCCTTACAGGCCCGGGACTGTTTGCGCAGCTTGCGCAAGACCATGAAAAGGCGCGAGGATCGCAAGGTACCGCACCCTCTCCCCGTACGGTGATGTGGGACACGCTAACTGGAGACAGCTGGACTACGAACGACACCGAAACAAATTCGACAGCTGCAATCGAAAGACCAAGGGCACCGAAAAGGAGACAATCGCGCTGGCCAAAGCCGAGAGCGATCTGGCCATAGCGACCGAGGTATGCCCTCCCTGCCTCCTTCCCCCCCCTTCCCCCCAGTCATCGACCCCACGACTCACATGCGCAGGAATACCAAGCGGCCGATGACCACCTGCGTGAGCGGCTCCCCCCGCTGATCAATGCAGCCCTGGCCATGATCCCGACCCTGCTGCACGTCCAGATCGATCTGCAGAATCACCTGCTGGCCAATTACTATACGGTCACCCGCAACTACTGCGAGCAGAACCGCTTCCCCTTCCCCTCGCCGCCCATGGAGCAGGTCATCGAGGACTGGGAGCAGGAGCACATGCCCGCCCGGCAGGACATGGAAAGACTTTACTGTCTCGCCAACGGCAAGGCCGTGCGCACCTTCCACCTCCCCGACGACCCGCCCGGCGGCGCCGGCGGCGGCATCCGCGACCGCCTCAGCAACGGCCTCAGCAGCGTGCGCCAACGCGCCAGCGGCCAGAACGCCAGCGAGCCCGCCCAACAACCCCCGCAACCGCTCTCGCGCCCCGTCTCTCCCGGAGGTCCTCCACCCCCCAAGCCCCCGCGGCCCACCTCGCCCGGCCACAGCATCTCCTCCGCACCAGTCAAACCCCCCCGCCCCGTCTCCCCGGGCCGACCACCAGCGCCCGTGCTCTCCTCGAAACCGGCCCCCCCATTGGACAGTAAACCCCGCTGGGCCGACACGCCCTCGACCTCCAGCCTCGCCGTCCCCCAAAACAACTACCACAGCAACAACAACAGCAACAACAACAACCACCTCTCCCCGCACAGCGCCGCCTCCTCCCCAACCGAATCCTACGTCTCCGCCCCAGAGTACAGCGGCCGTCCCCCGTCAGCAGGCCGTCCCCCCTCAGCCGGCCGCCCCACCTCAGCAGGCCGCTCCCCATCAGCAGGCGTCTCCTCCGTTGCCTCCTCCGTCGCCGCCCGCGCAGACTACTTCAACAGCCGCCGCGGCTCCCAAACCCCCATCTCCCCCGCCACCTCGACAACAACCCCCAGCATCGCATCGCCCAATCTCAGCGCCATCGCAGCCGGTAAGAAGAAGCCGCCCCCGCCGCCTAAACCCCGGCACATGAACGCGCCCAGCCCCGTCACCGTCACGGCTATGTATGACTTTGCGGGCCAGAGCGCCGGCGACCTCGCCTTCCGGGAGGGAGACCTCATTCGCGTGCTGAAGAAGACGGGGAGTACGGATGATTGGTGGGAGGGGGAGTTGAATGGTGTGAAGGGGAGTTTTCCCGCGAATTATGTGCAGTAGCTGGGTTCCCTCCCTGTCCTGCTAGCGGTTGGGGGAGATGAGATCTTGAGGGGAGAGAATAGAGAATGGATTCCAAAATACAGACAGAGAGAAGGAAGAAAAGAAGATTAGAGACGAGGGTTAATTAATAGCATCAATACCTGGTTGGGTGGGCGGGGATGGACTGCTCACAACCTGCCTACCACACCGCACAATACATAATGATACTTGATCGCGTTTGGCTGGTGTGATACATGTTTTCATTTTCTGCGTTGGGTTCTTGCATCTGTGAAGACACATAGAATACATATTGCTAACCACACCGAATAGGTTGGTCGGCTTCATCCTCTTCGTACAGCCGTAATACATATATAATAACTTCCGAGGAGAATAAGACAATATCCGTCATTTCCTGTGTTCCAGCAATGCTTATACAAACGCATCCTCGGGCCCTCGCTCCGACAGCCCCGTGCCCGTCTGCCGCCGCCGGCTGTTTAGGAACAGCTCGACCATGCGCTTGCTCGACATGGTCGGGGTCACGTCCTTGGATGGACTGACGCCGTGCAGGTGGCTGGGCTTTGCATCCAGCCGCAGGTTCTCGTTGGTCGTTCGGCGGTTGTGGTCTCGAGGCACCCGCGTCGACCGGGGCTGCTGCGCCCGATCGTCTGGGATGATGAGCTGACGACGTGACGGATACCGGCTTGTTTGAGCGCTGTCAAACCAGCGAGACGACAGTTCGGCAGGCTCCCTCCTAGCAGTCGGCGAGTCGGGCATGCCCATCCCATGAGCCGGTGAAGACGCCGTGGGGGAGATTGGGAGTTTCGAGTCCCGGTTTCGCGTCCGGTTGATGTAGAGAGAATACCCATTGGAATTGCCCCAGATCGGTGATTTGGCAGGCAGATTCATTCTCGTGGGAACACCGTGACCGCTAGTAGGCTCTTTCCAACCTTTGACTGTCGTACGGACGCTGGAGGACCGGCTGAAGGGCCGAGAGAAGTTACTGCCTGATCGCCCCACGGAGCCCAACAAGTCGGTTTCATCTTGGGGCCTGGTTTCGGGGAGGCTGGCTGCGATGGTGGGCGCGCAGTGGGATGGATCGTCGTGGATCTGCGCATCCTCTCGGTAGTGTTCTCTGGCAGGATTTTCAACTTCAATACTGGCAATCTGAGACTGCATCCACTGCTGCCAGTCCAAGCTAGGCTGAATGGGCGCAGCCGTAGCGGTGCCACTGTCCCCGGGATTGGATGATCGTCCAGGGGAGCAGTACGTGGACCGCTGGCTTGCGAAGATAGTGGCCACACCGGGCTCGTCATCATCCGACCCCGAGGACGATGCGTTGTCGACTTTGGGCTTTGGCGTCGGTCGGCCACTGGCCGTGCGAGAGTACACGCTGGGAGAACGGGACCAATCTTTCGGGCTGGGCGACCTCGTCGCATGCGGGCTGTCGGGTCGTGCATCCTGCGACCCTGGCACGCACGGTAGCGGCCGAGACTGCGCACGAGGCGGCATCCTGGGGGTCATCATGTTGCACTTGGCGGTCCTATACGACCCCGGCGACGCCAGGGATTCCTCACTGGGGATATGGCGAATGGTTCGCCGACTGGCCCAGGAATGCAGATGGGTTGACTGGTGTGGAATTGCGCGATGTTGTTTCACCTGTCCCAACGCGACCTCTTCTCCGGGGCTTTGCGGGCTGGATTTGCCGATTCGCTTCATCAAGGCCGCGAACAGGCTCTGACTGTCGATTCCATTAGGGGACTTGGACGGACTGAGCTCGGACAGACTAAACTCGGGCATCCTGGGGAGCCCGCTTGCTTCGTCGATGACTGACATATGGCCGTGGTGACCGGTCCGACGAGTTGTGATGGTGTTTGCCACCGTGGAATCCGCCCAACTCGTCACACGAGAGCGCGAGCTGGCTTCACTGGCTGAGCTTGGTTTGTTCCGCACAGGGGATGGGGGATGCGGGCTACGAGCGCTGACGCTGTCTGGATAGTTGCCCATCCCGGAGGCAGGCGAAGAGAGCTGCTGGGCCCAGCGTCGGGGCAATGGCGGGGATACGGGAACATTCTCTTTATCGCAACCATCCGCCCGCAGTCCCAGGACTCGTTTGATCCCCTTCTTGATGGAGCTCGAGATGGCCCGAGTCCGTTTGTGCGAAGGGACGCTCGTGGATATGTCCGATGTGGGAGGAGTGGTAGCCTCGATCCTCGAGGTACTGATCGCACGGAAAGATTTCCGAAATGATCTGTGGCCCCGCTTGGATGCGATGAGAGAGAAAGAAGAATGCCTGGTTCGAGTACCTTGGCTTGTAGGGCTCTGCTGGAACTGGGCGCGGGCTAGTTGGATCGCCGCGTCATGACTCTTTGCACGCCGCAGTGAGTGCTTATTGTCCGACTGATAGACTGCCCTCAGAAATGACATCGAGCGCCGAAGGGAGCCATGCGAGTGGGGCGTACAGGCCGACTGCAGACGGTCCGCGGTGGTCTGCGGATGCGACTCGGACGACGACAGGGCATACGCTGGACGCGAGGCGCGCTGTCTGGTCGAAAACATGGAGCGAGACTTGCGCAGACGCCGATATGAAGACGGCAGCGAGGAGTTTCGACCATCCAGGCCATAGAACTCGCTGATGGACGGAAGAGCCACTGTCGGATAGACGTCTCGTGGACGAGGGGGCGGAGCGCGCGTGGGAGGCGGAGAAGGGCTCGGAGACTGCTTCTCCTTGTGAAGGTCGTCGGCGATTGAATGTCTTTTTGGCTGATATTTGTTTTCGGAGTCCCGCCATCGATCCTGGGAGGCGTGCGATTCGGCCGAGGATCGTTCTAGGGAGCGTCGCATGGCCAGAGAGGCTGCAGCCAGGGCATGTTGCCTGCCGACATCCGCGTCAAACGACTCGCCGGACGAAGTCTGGCGACTTTTCCTGATCGATCGAGTTGACTTGGATCGTCGCAGGCGCTCCTTGGCGCTGAGGGAGGTGCCAGCATACATGGTGGATGGTTATGGTAGATAGTTCTGCAGGGTGAAGATGCAGGAGGAATGATGTTGCATGGGGGAAGACTCCTAGGGGATTGATTTGGGAAAAAGGAAAGCATCCTGCATGATCACTTCTGGAAGGAGCGATGCCCTTCGGAATGCTTTATCGCAAGTGTTGGATGATGGCAGGAAGGTGGAAAGTGGTTTCCCAGTGTTTGTGAGGACTGACAGAAACACAATTAGCCCTAACTGCATCAACTTAGTTGGCAGTCAATCAAAGGAATGAGACAGTAGTAAACCAATTCTTACCTTAATAATAGAATCTATCCTAATTTAGGCATGTCGTCCTTTCATGGCCAGTAAGGCTGAGACAGAGGCTGAGATGAGTCACCGTATCGGGCAGTGTCATGGTGACAAACAAGAGAGGCCATGAATAGCCTCACAAGCGTCACCATCAAGGTTTCCATGGGATTCCGGGCTGAAAACTGTAAACTCCCGTTCATTCCGGAGTCTATTAAAAGGTTGCCTTCGCCCGGTCCGTCCTGTATCCATCTCTCTGCCATCCATCTCTGCCATCCATCTCTATCATCCATCTCTGCTATCCACCATCTTAAAAACTACCATCTAAAACCATCGTCTGGAAACATAACCTTGAAAGAATCACCACCAGTGAACAGGATAAACCGATAAAATGACCAAAGACCTTCCAACTATCACCATCGACGGTCGCACCCACGAAGGAGGTGGCCAGATCCTCCGGCTCGCAGCCGGCCTCTCTGCCATCACCGGCAAAGCGATCACCATCACCAACATTCGGGCCGGGCGAGTGCCCACTGGTCTACGGGGATCACATGTAGAAGCCATCAAGTGTCTCGAAGTGATCAGCTCGTCTGAAGCGCAGGGTGTGGAATTAGGGTCGGAGTCGGTCGTATTCCACCCTGCCTGTCCAGCACCATTATCATCACCATCCTCCACCACCTTCACCTCCTCAAAACCCACCAAGAGCAAAAAACCGACCAAGGTCAAAAGAAAATTCTTACCTCGCAAAAATTGCGTCAAAAGCCCTTCAACAAATCCAGAAACGCCTGTCGTCATCGGACGTAAACCAGTTGGCGCGAATGGATCATCCACCAATCTACAACAGATCACTATCACGCAGAAAACCAACGGAGCATCCTTTCTCATCTTCCAGGCAATCTACCCCTACCTTCTCGCCAGGGCACGGCACCCGATCAGCGTGCGTATCATCGGTGGCACGAACACGAGGTCGGCCCCGAGCCTCGACTACGTCGAGCAGGTCCTGCTGCCGAACTTCGCACAATTCGGACTCCCGCCTGTCTCGGTAAATTTGCGTAAAAGAGGGTGGGATACGGGGCTTTTCGATCTGGGAGAGGTGACTGTCGACGTGCAGCCGCTTCCCCGGGTCGTCGACGACAGCAGCGACAACGACAGCGATAACGACGCCCATGGAGAAACACCCTTGCGTCCGGTCTTCCCTGAAATCGACTTGAATCGATACGGCCGCGGCCGCATCAAGAGCATCCAGATCACCATCCTGGCACCGGATGGTCCTGTCCTAAGGAACGCCGTAGATGGGCCCGGCTTCAACCCTGATGTTGAAAACATGCCGCCGCGTAGCCATATCCACGCAGGTAAGCTTCACCCTCGCACCGCATTCTCCCAAAGCAAGGCGACTAATCAGAATCAGACAAAGTCTACACAGCCCGCGAGTACCTCGAATACCAAACCTACCTGCAGATACGCAAGCGCCTCCTCCTCCTCCCTAATGACCTCTTCGTCGGCTCATCGGACATCGACGGCGGCGCCAATGGATTTGCGATGGGTATAGTCACCATGGATACATGTAAAAGTGAAAGAACGTACCACCCGTCGCACATGTATGTGCTCGTGGTCGCGGAGATGGACAACGGGTTCCGCATTGGGGTAGACGGTACGGGTTCCGGTACCCGACTTGGAAGTACTCGGCACACGCATGATACTGCGCATGTGAGAATGGGAATCGCTAAGGAGTTGGCAGAGACGTGCATTCTCGATTTCGTGGATGAAATCTCGATGGCGCGCTTTGATTTGGGCGGACGGAAGCCGTGTGTGGATCAGAATATGAGGGATCAGATGGTTGTTTTCGAGGCTCTATCCCCGGCTCCTTCTTCGAGGTCACTTTCATGCGTCGGAGTAGAGGACCCCCGGTATTGGAGTTCGCATACGAGGACGGCGAAATGGGTGTGCGAGAAAATCTTGGGATCGGAGCCCGAATGATATGTATTCCTTTCTTTTGTGAGATGCTATTGAAGGCGCAGGGTCGGTCTTGTTTTGGATGTTATGTCAACTATCATTGGCTTTTGGATTTATTGCATGTTTTCATGTCATGTTGCTGGATTAATTCAATCACGTTGTCATCCCTACGGATCCACTGTCAGCTGGAAGCATGGTAGACACCAAGTAAAGTACAGTCATGAGCCAGTCATAAGAGTTCAATGGTAGCAACAAGTACATGGCATTATCACGACAAATTTTATTAACATCCGTCAGTCGAAAGGGTATAAAGATCGACTGGTATTAGAGCATCCCGCACATCAAACAGGCAGCATTATCAGATAATATCAAAGAAATAATAGTAAACGAATAGAAAATAGGGATAGCCAGAAAGAAATCAAGGGGGTAAAAGAAAAAAATAACCACTGCCCACCAGCCAGCTGCAGCTTCATGGAAGCGCCTTGGATGGGGTGACTTATCCTGATCATCTCCCTTGCTTTTTCTCGTCCCCCCCTCTCCCAGTATTCAGTCTCCAGACATCATACAAAAAGAAGAGACAGAAATCACTGATGCTAGACCCGGTGCTTCCAGTACCAGTATGCAGCAACTCCCGTGCGAGTAATTATAATAAGAGATAAGAACAAATAGAACGAGCGACAGGTCCGTGGACCCGTGAAAAGAAAAAAAGCCTCCCAATGGATGGTTCAACTCCCGCAATGCATCAATCAAGACCCAGTTAAAAAATCAAGTGAAACTTTCAAGGAACGTAGGTGGATGGGCAACCACGAACCCCGCCTGCAGGACTCATGCAAATCGGTCGATGTCCCGAGGGTCCTGTAACTGGTGCCGACCCTGGTGTCCGTCAACGGTGGTGAGATGGACAGGGTTTTCATCATGTCGTGGATCGTGTCGTGGGTCAGTTACGACAGCTCCCGCATGATCTCCTTGTAGGGCGAGTCGTCGAGGATCTCCGAGGGGAGAGCCCGGCGGTAATCCCGGGGCTGGGCCAGGGGTGATGCTAAGGGCCGGCGAAGCTTCAGTGTCTATTGGGACTGTGTCAGTTGATGGACAGGAGGACGACGGGAAAGTGGTGGACTTGGTTCATACCATGCAATCCGGGCATTTGCCTCCATCAATGTTGGCGCGGCCACGGCAGCCACGGGGATAATTGGCGCAGGAGTACATGGCGCTTGTTGGTGGAAGAATATCGTTGCAACGAGGTAAGATTATGTAGAGTATATGGATGTATGGAAGTCGTGAATTGGGATTTGGAAGTAAATGAATGGAAATGCCGTTGTAAATCCCGTCAAGGGAGCTTATTCTAGGGCTGAATCTCCTGTCGAGGTCTGTTTTTCAGGAGACAAGGTCATTTAAAAGAAGGGAAAGAAAAATGGAATCGGAAAGATGACAACAAATAAATAAATGGAAGATTAAAATTTAATCAAATGGAAAGTCAAATGGAATAAAATGAAATAAAATAAATGCAGAATAAAACAAGAAAAAAAAAATCCAGGGAGAAAAAAAAGAGCCCCAAACACGGGACAATAATCGATAACAATGACCGAAAAAAAAAAAAATAGAATAAAATAAAATGGAATAAAATAATAAAGACGAGAAAGGAATAATCCAACAACGGCCAAGCACAAGCGCCACAGCAATTACGTCAAGGTCGTGAGACTGATGTTTTGGCAGCGACAGGATAATCCTAACAGGGGGCTGCGCCACTGAAGAGACCGACTGAAAGGGGGCTGGCGCGACGATCGAACGTGCTAACCTGCCCAAGGAACAAGAAGAAGGAACCAGTGTAAGGGAATGGGACAAAGAACTAGACACTGGTGGTGACTAGTTATCACTCAGTTCGGACTAGTTTCGTTTCAGAATCCAGATGGGGAAAAGGAGAAACGCCTGGGTCATGGTTCCAGAAGAAGGGGGAATGTTGGCCGGAATTTATATGCGCGGAGATCCGAAAGGAAACATATGTGCTCAGATGCCAGATGGGGCCCGGTTGTATAATGGGATTCTCCTCGATCGTGGATTGCATGACGTGAGAATGCTCTTCTCCTACTTCTTCTTCTTCTTCTTCTTCTTCTCCTTCTTCAGTGTGACAGACACGGGCTCGGGCTAAGGTGGAAAAGTCCGATGGCAGAGTAGTGATGCTCACTGTTGCCCTTGTTCCATGTGGTCGATCACCGTTCTTCCAAACCGGACGGTACCACAAAGAAAACCAAGTAAAAAAAAAAAAAAGATCACTCTCGAGTAACCCACCTACAGCACCAACAAATCACCGACGAGACGATCCAGAAAAGGGTCGCCGTGGCCAGGCAGCGGGGATGTCTCGCCTGACTATTGATCGGGTTGGGAAGCGAGAGTGCCCGTTGGTTGGATCTCCATTGGACGGTGGACTCCGCGTTTCCCGACGGATGGTGGAGGATTCCAGGAGAAGAACGATAGGAGAAGAAAGACGGCGGGGGAGAAAAAATGGGAAAAGTCTGCGTTGTGTTGGCACTGGTGTCCACTTGGGAAATTTAGCAGCCGAAGCGGAGTCCTCACGTTTCGGTCCCAGACCTCAACGAGAAAAAGAAAGGAGAAAATCCATTCAACACATAACAGACGAAAAAAAAAATAGAAATCAACAAATAAATAAAAAGTAGACAAACAAGGGTGACAAAGAGGGCGAGACCCAGACCACGTTACATTGAAATTCAATCCCCACCATCACAATGACTCGCAGATGGGAGGGACGACAGGGTGACAAGGGACACCTTCAGCCTCAACTAAAGGACCACCAAATGTAGGAGCTGACAAATTCATTCAATCCAAAACACGGACGACGCATCATCAGCTCGCAAACGGCCGGTAGGAGAGGCAGTCATGTACGGAGTGGTGTTAGGCGCATTCGGAGTCGCATTATCTGATATTGAAAGAGCGTTTCGGATAGATGGTCAGATAGGATTGGCTGGGGGATCTCGCGCGATCTGAATCACCCATGGTTTTTGGATTTCTGGAAGGTCGTCGAATCTATTCTCTTTTGGTGGTTAGTCCATCGGGCATGGAATCCATGGATCTCTTCCGTCGTGCCGATTGGGCATGGCCGGAAAACGGCGGGATTTGACCATCCTGC